AGGGTTTCCTGCTCTCTGAGAGAAAATAAAGAAAAGGGATAGGGTTTGATTCTTGATGCCTGTATTCACTCTAAATCTTTGATTTAGAGTATTGTAATAGTTAGATCTACCTTCGATTGTAATATTCTGTGTGAATATTGAGAGGCTGTGGTCGAAGTCCTCTGTTGTAATACTGTGTGTATGTTCGAAGGAGTTCTTGGTGGTTTCTGAGTGATTCATGGGCTGTCTGTTGATGTACCTTGAGAGATAAGTCTCATATCCTTTCTTTGTACTCTCTGTAACCTTTTGTTGCCATTTTTGTGGCTGATTTAGTGCATCTGAGCATATTCCTGTTTATGGATGCTCAACGGGGGATGTAGGTGTTTGAAGCGGTCACCGAACCTCCGGGGCTACGGCCAAAACAATTCTTTGTGTCCATTCTTTAATTTCTGCAGTTTACTTTACTGTTTGAGATTATTGTTTTGTTTTAATACTCACATCGTGATGTGGTCTGGGCCTTACAAAAATAATGTGAACCAAACATGGGCCTAGATCAAGAAACAGTTCAATTATCACAACAATCAAGATACTTTAAAATAACCCAAGAAATAATATCATTCGACAAGATGAGATAGGAAAACCAAGAACTCCTTGTGTTGAGATAAATAACAGAGAGATCGACTGTAATGATACAAACTGGTACATGCCAACAAGAGTTGAAATGAAGCAAGCCCAAGGCAGAATAAAATTACATTTTAGTTCAGCACTTCTCTGGCATCTGTCCTCAAAAACAAGTAATAATCTACGATGTTGGCACGCAGCATATACAACAGACAACAGGTTTGTGCTCATGCTTGGACTTGAGGTCAATCAGGAGAGATCTGTACGCTTTGTGAACATTCGGTAAGCACTACTCGACAAGACTACGCGATATAATGAACTAGATTGTAAATCCAGTGCTATCCAATCATCCTAGAATCAATCTGCATCTGACACAAAATGCATAGCCCGTGATGAAAAATGATCGATCCATTCACCAGGGCTCGCGAAAGGCATAAAACCGCACAACAATGGGAGAAGTAGCAGTGCAGAGAAGAACATAAACCTCCTTATCCAATATGGAAATATCGTACTGTCGTTCACCTTATCTGAGACGTTGATGGACCCATAGAGAATAAGAAACAAAGTTGAAGTCCAAATATTGGATAGGAAATGCAGCAAGCATAAAACTTCCCAGTACATTAACCAATGATTTCCGCTGCCTCCCAATGTATCAATGCAAAATTTTCCTGCATACCCACATCCAACTCCCAATAGCAACATTATGAAAGTAATAGGCATAGTCTGATTTGTTACAGCAGATCTCTGAATAAGCAAAAAGGCAATTGCTCCGATCATTAGTCCGGCAAACAACATGCGACTTAAAACTTGAACTTGACACCTTAATAATTGTAGACCCGAGCTGAAAGTTGCCATTGATTTTGGCATCCACCAAGACTTGGTTTCCTTGAAGAAAAAAAAAATAGCATTCTGATTATCAAAACCAAAGCTGAGAGAGCCACATGATTATGTGAAGTGTGAAGCTTTTTTTTTTTTTTTTGATAACCGTGAATGTCCGAGCTAGTTTGGACGCATCTCGACTAATCCCACGAGCCCCTGAAGTTTATGACCGTGTATTCACCTCAGTGGCCTTTAGAGGACTTGAACTAGTGACCATTGGAGAGCAAATCCAAGACTTGACCAATTGAGCAATCCCTCAAAGTTTATGTGAAGCACAATGATCTCTCTCACACACACTAAGGGTAAAAAAAAAAATTTGTCACACCACTAGCGGCAAAGCTTCATGCTAGTCACCGAACTTTATTTTGTTCCAAAGTTTACTTTTTTGCTTCAATTTGGTCGCTTGGTCAAAATCCATTAGTTTTTCTAACAAAATGCCTGATGTAGAAGACCTCCATATTAATGCTACGTATCATTGTTGTCTTCTACATCAGAAAATCTGTTAGAAAAATTAACGTATTTTAACTGAATAAAACCGAGACAAAATGCAAAATTAGAGACCACTTTGGAATAATACAAGAATTGGTCACTAACAAGAAACTTAGCTACAAGTGTGATTTACAGAGTTTTTAACCCATTAACTAATATCTACCGAATTTGTTTCAACTGAAGTAAATGCAGTTAATCAATTTTAATATCCTTCAAAATTGATTTATATATCGAAAAAGTAATAAAATTGTACAGAGTCAATTTCTTTTCCCTTTCCAAACGGTTAATCGGGGTTCATCCAAATCCTAAAGTGCATGCTACAGTAATAAGAAAATGCTGAAGACTTTTGTGGTAAGAAACACGAGCATGTCAACAATTTGAATAAAATAACCCGTACCTTAAAAGGTGAGCACGATTCTGTAGCTTCCGTTATTCTTCTATGAGAATAAACATAACCTCCATACCCAAGGGAGAACAACATGGTGAATAAACCCGCAACTAGAAAGTCTAAGCATTTTTTAAGCAACTCCACTTGTCTCGTATCGAGTAACTGAGTTTTGAATTTTTCCACCTTAAAGGAAGCCTTAGAAAAACCCATAGATATTTTACATCTTTCCAAGAAATTTGCATCCGAATGGACAGCCAGTTGGGCTTCTTTAAGTTGCAGCTTTTTCATAGCAAGACTAATCTCAAATGCCTTCAGTTCATTAGAACGAGTTTGCTCTATAACTGATTTTTCGAAGGTGCTGAGCATCAATTGGTTGACTTCAGAATGAGATGTGGTGCTTGAAGAACAAGACAACTGTTGACTTGTATGCCCATCATGGAGAACAAGTTGCCGATTTATCAAATCCAATGGCCTATCCTCTTCGGTATGCTCATGAGTGCGTATTTGTTCATCACTGTTGGTTGTATGTGGAATTGATTCCAAGCCATCTTTAGTATCACAGATGCATACGGGATCTTGTAGTTTGTTATTGTTAGATAACCGTGCCCATTGTCCATTGCCTCCGACATTTTGGGAGGATTCATAGATTAATCTTAGAGTCATGAAGGTACTTCGGAATGAAGTTTTAAAATTCCTTACAAAACCATCAAACTTGTCGCCAAAAACCTGTCTTAAAACAAGAAATCAAACAGAGAACACACAAATTCTAGATTTGTCAAGTTGATAAGAGAAATAGGTGAAAGCACATCAGATCAGGCTTACATTTGCTAGAGACTCTCTGACAGCCAATGTGCAAATCTGCAAGCACCAATTTAAATTATTAAAAAAATTGACTATGTGGAACAGGGAAGACCAAATGACAAGTATGTTGAGGAAATTTAAAAAGTTGTGGGCAATCTTTTGATTATGAATTCATAAGACCAAGGACCATTGTATAAAGTCTCTCCAGATCTTTCTCATTTTCGAAGAAGAAGTGGAAGAAAGACTTACCCAACTTAATGATCTTGAGATTTCTGCATCCCCACATTTTCGAAAAAGAAGTGGAAGAAAGGAAAGTGTATTATCAACCCAAATTAACAAACACCTGGATCTGATTCTCGCCCAGAATGTTTGCAGCTGGATGGACTCAACCATCTAGAGCATGTTATGTTAACTGTTAAGTATAACAAAAATGTTGAGTACTTAAAAGTAAGATTTCAGCTTAGCCCAGCTATTTTAAGCTTAAAAATTACTTTTAACTTTTATGGCCAAACATTTCCCAGAAAAAATGTAAAGTAAATTTTAGTTAAAAAACTTACTGCTTAAAAGTAAATATTTATTTACCTTTTTTAAAAAATACTTCCTACTTTTTATGATCAGCCAAACATGCTCCTAGTCTTGGAGCTCAATAAGTAGGCAGTAAGCATGCACTAAAATTCAGCTAAACATGCAACAACCGTTTTGTGATGAATAATCAATTTCATGGAAATCAATGGAGACATAGATCAATGAGGAAAAAGTGAAACATGTCTATAAAAGAAGGATCTAGAAAGTACCTCAGTCAGATAATCCACAGATATCTTCTCTCCAGATGCATTTTTCTTGTCCAAAACCTAAAATAAAGACAAAATCACCCTACTATTGAAAACGGATATAATTTTTTCTTTCCTTTTGTTCTTACAGAAGTGAATAAAACAAACAGAATATGACAAAATCCATGGACAGCTGCCAAAACCATTGCATTGCATGGCTTATCGAGAAAAAAGAGGACATAAATAGCTATAGCAATTATAGATCTATGCTTAACACCAAACAATAAGGAAGGTCAAAGATGCGCTTGAACTTACTATTAGGCTCGTAAATGGAAAGTATAGTCATAACTGAAGTCTAGAAAGTTAAATTGAGGAAAAAAAAAAAACTTTTCAGTACTTAGTATATAATGGCAATGCAATAGGTTCTCCATATGCATGGATACTACAGCATTCTATTTTAAATCAATGGTACTTAGTATATAATGGCAATGCAATAGGTTCCCCGTATGCATGGATACTACAGCATTCTATTTTAAATCAATGGCATATGCCACACTGGTAAGTTCTACAATTACTTATTATTTATAACTAACTTTCATAAAAAGGCAAGTATCCAGTTCCTTCTCGTTTACTTCTATGTTAGAGGAAGATGACTGAAGAAATCATGCCTTTCTTGTTCACTTCTTTGTTAGAGGAAGATGCATCCAGAAATTATGCTTTTCTTGTTCACTTCAGAAAATTTCGACGAAAGATAATATGAGACCAGGCTCAAAAAGCACAATTTTATTCACTCAAAATGAGAACACACACTAACATGAATATAACAAAAATATGAACAATGAAAGTACTTAAATTTAAGTTAATATCTCTAACAATTAACAAATTCATCATCTACCAAGAATATTAATTAGTTATAGAGGGTGACTAGACAGGCTCTTAAAAACAACATATTAATTTCACTATTTAACTCTCCATAATAAACACGCTCAACACTCATTCTTCATTTGCTTTCAACGACCCTAAAATAAACTTCTTATTAGGAGGAGGAGGAGGAGGAGGAGGAGGTATTTATTTATTTATTTTTTATTTTGAGATAAACAGGTGTAAGAACGCATTTGTAATTGCAAGAATTCAAATAATCTTGCACATACTTAAGGTAAAAACAAAAATCATTACTTCACTTCACTAACTTTTTGCACAAGCTGTGGTCAACATATCCAGAAACATATTTTCTACAACAAATTCAATCTTTCCCACAAGAACTCAATTATTTTTCATCAAACTTTGGTCACCTATGCATATCATGATTCGTGAGACATATTCAAACATACATAGAGTATATACAGATAAAAAGGTTCACAAAAATTTCTTAAAACAGAAGATTTCCATGTGCACAATAACTCAAAACTCTACACTGAAATTTTCCTAGAAAATTTTCAATCACCTTTGTCACACTTAAAAGACCAAGATATCCCATTAAAGATTCAAACTTTTCCACAAAAATTATACGAATAAAGCATGTAGAATCCACCAAATATATAAACCCAGAATCTTGAACCCTTGATTTTTATACTCACTGAAATCCATTGTTTTTCAAAAACTGCACAAAATCCTCATAAAAATAACAGAACTTTCCATAAATACAGAACAATATTTCACACTTCAATCATTGCAAAAATCTATCCTTTTTTAATAAGCGCATACAAATATAGCTCAAAAGATAAGTACCTGGGAAACAACAGCAGCAATTGACATTCCCAGAGGAAGAGCAAGGGTATCAACATTAATATTTCTGAAATTCGTACTTCTCCGGTTCGTGGTGGACCCAACTCGAATTCTTTTAGGATTCTTAAAAATCCTGAGACCTTTTTGCTTCGAACTTGAAAAAGACGATGTAAAAGAACAATTATCCGATGATGATACTGATGATGGTGGTGATGAGGGTTCTGTAACTGGGGTTTTCTTTTTCTTTTTATTTTTCCTTTTGGATTTTGAGCCGTTGATTAAACGCGAGCTTGATGGGCCAGGAGGAATTTCCGGCATTGGATAGGCGGCGGCGCTGTCGTTCACGGCGGAGGGTTCTGTAGGGCAGTGGAGAGGTTGCAGAGGAGGGGATTCCATTATAACTTTTTGGGGGAGACGATGGTTCCCTTATTTAAGATTTTAATGGGGAATTAGTTCTTGCCAACCATCAATATCTTTTTGTCCAAAAGACGATTCTTCAGAAGTAAAGGAAATTGAAGAATTTGAAAGTGTTAAAATACTATTTTACCCTTCTTTTGTAAAACCAAATTGAAGAATCGGGCATTTAATTCATGTCGGAAACCATTATTCCCTAGATTAACAATTGAATCCTCTCTCTGAAAGCAAAACCCAAAGTTTTGATAAAAATAAAAAATAAAAACCAAAGATTTAGCACAAAAATCATGCAGATTGATCGAAGTGAGGATGAAGACTCGAAAAAATCCCAGGCATTACGAACTTTCGGGACGAAGGTCCATTGCCCATTTCAATAGCGAAGCTTTCAGGCTCATCTGAAGGTATACCTTCTGAATAAGACTTCCATTTCTACAATAATTTTCAAGGAAATGGATAAGAAGTCGGAAAATTTGCTAAAAGAATTGGAGAGTCGAAAAATTTGCATTTTCGAATGATATAAACATTGAGTTAGATGATGATGATGCAGAGTACGATTGGCTCATGAATGTGAATGACGATATTTTTGAGAAGTTTGATGCGAGCCAAATGAATTTAAGAGGTTGCGGAAGAAGGAAGATGAGAGTGGTGTGAAAATGATGAGGGTTGATGTCAAAGAGGAATGTGGAGGAGGTGGGTCAAGAAGGGTTCAAGAAGTGAAAGTGGTAGAAAAGTAAAGCCAAAAGTTCCATTTCATATTTCAATTATTATGAAGCCACAAGAATAGTCTAAGATCATTGTAAACAATTCAAATCGATCGCATGAGCATGTCTGGTTGCAGAGGAGTGAGGATAGGCCTAGGTTCATACATCCCTTGGTTAGTATTAGATTTTTCCTTTCTAAATGGTTCACTTATGCATTTATTTGGTTGTAGAATGATCAAAATTAGGAATTTTCTTTATAATAGGAACAGTTAGATTACAAATGTACTATGATGTATATTTTCGAAATTTTATTATGTGGTGAATGATGGCAGGTGGATGGCTATTACCGAGTTTGATTACTTTTATTAAGATGTTTAAATTGTGGCACCTTGTTAAACAAGGTGGAAGGTCATTCTTCTTTCTATCATTGTGTTTCTATTTGATAAACAAACTAATTGCATTCATAATTTAACATTCTTACTGTTTTTTTTTGTGGTAATAGCATTTCTATCTTTCCTTACCTAGTTCTATTTCTTTTATAAAGATGTTTAAATTGTGGCACCTTGTTTGTCAAGGTGGAAGGTCATTCTTCTCTCCATCATTGTACTCTATTGGATAAGCATACTAATTGTATTCATAATTTAACACCGTTACTATTCTTTTACCTGTGATTTTATTGCAAATATTTCATGAATGTTTCTTTTTTATCTATCATGGCAATCTTAATACAGTGTTCCTATACAAGTTGATTTATATAGTTAGATGCACGTGATTGTACAAATTGATTTATATAGTTATACGATAGCTTTACGTTTTATGGGGGTAACGATCCACAACTATGCTCCAATTTTTTTGAGGAGCTAGTGTTAAAATGAAAAAAATAATAAAAAAAAAAAGTTCTCCACGTGGGCTATAATTTATAAATAATGTGTTTATAATTTGTAATTAGAAGTACATATTTGATTCAAATTGCAGTCGATTACGTCTTTGCTAATTATTAATTATTTTGCAGTGCTATATAGAAGCAGTATGACATAAAACGATATTGATATCGTTTCAGTATGAAAATTGCATTGATTTACATAACGACATTGAAATCATTCTCGAGACATAAAACGATATAACTGTCGTTCCAGTATGAAAAACACACAATTTGACTGATTTTCATAACGACATTGAAGTCGTTAAAGACCAATAAATCGACATAGAAGTCGTTATGCTAAAAAACTTGCACAGCGTGGGCGCGACATAAGGAATCATTGGCATCCAAGGGACCATTTGCTCTCCGGTGGTAAACAATTCAGAGACACTTGTAATGGATCGCGCGTGCCAATTAAATTTTCTTGGGGTTGACATTTCAGTCCCCAAACTTTCGTCTTCGTTTAACAGAGATTTTTTCTCGTGCAATTTTCAAAAAACAATGACAAATCATAAGTATCGAAACCACAAAACAACATAATAACATCTAAGAGGTGTCGTACACCAGCAGGACCATGCATGCACGCCAAATCATTACTAAAATGGCATTGAGGTCGTTTATTTTAATATGTAATGACATTGATAACGTTATGCATCAAACCTATGAAATAACACAAACGACATTCATGTCATTTCAATACAATATTTATGAAATTGATATCGTTCTAGTTCAAATAATAACTAAAATGTCATTAAAATCGCTTCTTTTAATACGTAACAATATTAATGTCTATATGTATCAAACCCACGAAATAACATAACGACATACATGCTGTTTCAAATATCATTTTAATTCAAATCATAACTACAACAACATTATATTGTTTCGTTTATTACATAAAGATATAGATATTGTTATGTATCAAATCTACGGAATAACATAACGATATCCACGTTTCAATACAAATTTACGAAATTGAGATCGTTCCAATTCAAATCATAACTGAAATGCTATTGAAATCATTTCTTTTAGTAAATATAACATTTTTTTATTGGTATGATAATTTTATCCATTCTTTTTTGAAATATTGTTGGTGCATTCATTAATTCAAATGACATAATATTTCATTCAAATTGTCTTAATGGATTAGAGGTTGTAAAACTAGTTAAAGATTTTGATGTTTCATCCAGTTTTATTTGCCAATATCCAGATTTACAATCAAATTTAGAATATATTTTACTTCCTTGTATTTGTTTTATTAACAATTCTTTTATTGGTAATTTATAGTTATTTGGTATAGTTTTAGAATTTAGGTCTCTATAATCAATTATCATTCTACATTTTTCTCTTTTAATTTCACTATGATTTCTGACTATAAATACTGGACTATTATTTGGACTGGTTGATTCTCTTATTATTCCTAATTGTAAAAGTTCTTTAATTTGGATTTCAAACTCTTTTTTATCTTCTTCGCTATAAGGGAATTGTTTTCTTGATATCTTAACATTTTAGTCTTTTAGTTCAATGGTTGAAATAAGTTTATTTTTGTCCAATTTGGATAAGGGATGTTCATGGTAACATTCTTTTAGTTCCGATTTCAAATTTTCTATTTCTTCTTCTAAATTTTCAATTCTTAATACTGAAATTTTTTTATTTTTGATTAATTTCTATATAAGATCCACCACGATTACCTGTAGAACTCTGATATCTAAATTTATGGTGAATTGGTTGATGGCAACTTCAATGGCTTTTAAAATTTTTGGTGATTTAATTTTGTGATTACAAGGTGTAGTAAATTCAAAATTATCCTTATAATGAACTATATGTATAGATAAAATTTTCTCTTAAAAGGATATCACATTCAATTTTATCTGTTGCATATATTCGTGGAATAAAACATTCTATATTTCCTATAATGATAGGAACATTTTCTACAAAATCTCTATAGATTTCTATAATATCACTAGCTGTTTGACCATAAGTTGTTTTCTTATAGTCTCTTTTATAATAGTGTTCTGGGAGCACATTTCTTTTACAAGGCAAATTCCTAATCCAATATCAAGAATAACATGAAATTTTATCATACAATAGTCTTGTAAATTAAGAGTTATATCAATATATGGACTAAGTATACTAGTTTTGATTGATCTGATTCCTTATATCATATAAATTGGTTCCTTGTTTTTATTAAGTTTATGAAACATTTTTTGTTTTCTTTCTACAATTATTTGCATAATATTCTTTTGAATATAAAATGGTGAGACCTTTTCAAGAGAGTTCATTCCAAATAATATTGGACTAGTATATTTTCCCTTTCTATAATTTTTATGGATTTTAAGATTTAGTTTAAANTGGACTAGTATCTTTTCCCTTTCTATAATCTTTATGAATTTTAGGATTTAGTTTAAATTGTTCTCCTTCTATATCTGTAAAACTTAATTCAAGATTAACGAATGTTCTAATTTCATATTTAATTCCATGATAATCTATAAGAGTTATTCCTTGTAGTAAATCTTCTTTTAATAACTGGTCAACTAAGTCCGCTCTAATATGATTGGTACTAGCTCCTGTATTAACAAGGGCCGTGATTTCTTCAAAGTTATTTTCATCATTGATATACTCTATTAAGATAAGTAAATTATCTTCCGCACATTTTCTAAGGTCAATATCAATGCTATTTCTAAGTATGGTTGGGTTGTTTCTACTTGTAGATGGTCCACTAGAACTTGAGAGTTCTCTAGTGCTGATACTTCTTTCTTCTTTCTATTATTCTACTAGGCATTCTGATTATAAGTTGTCCAGAGGTATTCAAGGTAATTAATCTTTGATATCCTACATTATTGTCCATTCTTCTAGATTGCTGATGATAATCAAGCAATATATCTTGTGGTAAAGAAATATTATGATTACTTAACATTTTTGGCAGAGTGAATTGTGCTAGGTCTCTAAAGTCTTCTTGAATTTGTACAAAATCTCCAGAGATTTTATTGATTTCTTTTTAGTATGTAGTAGTAAAGGCATATAATGCTTTACAATGTAAGTTTACAACTTTACTTATTGGTGGCATAATTAATCTATCAATTTTATGATATAGATTTAGTCCTAAGCTTAAGTTTTCATTTAACAAAGACATAGCAAATCCAGGTTTTATAGTAAATATAATTTTCTTATATACAAGATTTCCAGAGACAACTCCTAATAGAGCATCCATAGGATCATGAAGTATTCTGTTATCCATTAAGTACATTTGTATAGGAATATTCATTTCTTCTCTAAAATATCCTTTAACCATTATTTGAATCCCTCCGATCACTATATTCTTTAGTCTTTCTCTAGTAGGTCTTTTTATGTTTGCTAATTCT